GGCCCACCCTCGTGTGTCTTGGCTCAGGGAGTATCTCGCTATGTGGAATGGGCTCCCAAAGTCCACACCTATGCTAGGGATAAGTACTGAACTACTACAGGAGGTCCCATAGATTTCTGAGGTCTCCTTACTGAAACCCATGTTCCTGGGGTCTGGATCAGTCCCATGATGGTATCCCAGCTATCAGTCTGGGGACCAAGAGCTCCCTGATGTTCAGGTCAGCTGTTTCTGTAGGTTTCACCAGCCTGCTCTGGACCCCTTTGCCCATCACTCCTCCTTCTCTGCAACTGGATTACAGTTCAGTCCAGTGATTAGTTGTGGGTGCCAGCTTCTACTTCCACCAGCTGCTGGATTTGATTTTTAAGTGGATATGCATATCTGTGTGTTTACACATCTCTGTGAATGGGTCCATATATTCAAGCTAATGTTTGGTTTTATCTCAACTTCTCAATTCTCCTGCTGGAGAAAGAAAGAAGAACAGACAATACATAAATGAAAGGGTATGCCTGCTTTCTAACAACACTTAATTTATTGATATTTAAATATAAATTACAGTATTTATATGTCATAAGATATTTTTCATTTGTTTTTATCATCTATCTAAAACTGAGAAATTACTCTTATCTTGCTAGCCCCAAAAATATTATATGGGAATACTTCAATCCACAGACCATTTGCTGAACCTTAGTATCTCGTGGTCACTCACTAAACCAGAAAATATATCTTTATGTGCTTTCATTTATCAGTCAGCATGAGGACAGCTCAGCACTTTTTCATGTGAGCACTATGCTAAACAGGAAACATGGTGGTGCAACATGGGCAGGGATGAATGCAGGTGGACACATGTCTGAGATTAATGAGTTTACGGAGCAGTTTATAAAGCACAATATTCTCCATCTTTTTCTGTGTATTAGAATCAAATGGGTACTATTAAAATATACCCAATTCTACATCACATGCTCAGAGGATCCAGTGTGCTGTTTCAGATGTGCCACAAGGGGTTGAAGGCTTACCTCACATAAACCAGTTTAAAGATAAACATTTGGGGGGGTCTCCAAAGACTAGAAGAGAACTGCATTTAACCTTTCCCTCTTCTTGATATTACTTTCTCATTTATCAAACTTACATCATTTTCCAGTTATAACTTTTCTTTCCCATCTTTCTTATGTATTCATTTCAGATTTGAAATAACTAAAAGAAGTTAGAAAAGCTTCTATGCCTCAGAAGGAATATCCTGCATTCTATGTGGTAGCATGCATTATACCTTGTTCTCAGTGTTAGTGGCTCTTGTATTAATGGTGCTTTCTGGACATGCTCATTTAACCATGTAGTACAAGCTCAACGTTGTCAGCCAGTCTAGAAAGGGAGGGTAATGGAAAATGATTTCCTAGATACCACTCCTGGGAAAGCATTACATAAACCCAGAAAAGTAATGCAAATTATAGTATCTTTCCTTTCCTCTATCCTCTTTTGATATATCAAAAAGCATCACCAATATTTGGAGACAACATGGAATTAAAGATAACAAAAGAGTAGACTTTTCAAAGTATATTTCATAAAGTAAATTAGAAGAGACTCTTCTAATCTAGAAAATGTGTCTCTCTGTAACCTCATATCACAAAGCCCCATAGAACCTGTCAAACATGTCTCCTTCTTTCTAGTTTCTCCTTACCCATGTTAGCCTGGACATTTGTTGCTAATGGGTTCTAATATGTATTTAAATCATGGCAATGTGATATCTGAATCAAAACGGAGTTTCTTAATTGGCTTTCTTACGTCTCTAAATTTGATTATGACCCTCTTTCTATTTAAGTGGCAAAAGTCCATGCCCTTATGTCATATTTTAAATGACATCTAAAACAATTGACACCTAAGTATTTAAAATTCTGTGCCTCTCTACATTAAACCTTTTCTTAGTGTAACCAAGCAAAAGGTTTGAGACACTCATAGTAAATGTCAGGGACAAATGTGGAAGTCTGTCATTTGTGAGCTAATGCTGTTGGCAATAATAATTTCCAGTAGCTGACTTAGGATCACAAGAATGTTTTCCTTATTACAGGTTAGTCTGTTAAATGTCATCATTCTGATTATCCAACTGCTGCCAGCACTTCTACGGTAAACAGGACTTTTGCTTTTAGTCCTATTGAAAGCACGATGGGAAATTTGTCAAAACCACTTGGATCTGGGAAGGCCTTCAACACAGAGAGAAGCAGAATATTCACATGAATCCTCTTGTCGTTTCCTGACCTCTTTTTGAAGGACTCACCATTAGACATTTTTAAAAGATGCCCCCCCCCTTAAATAGTGGGAGAGGTATTTCTAGAATATTGTTCTGAGAATCCATAATCTGTGGTCATGACCTGTCATTGGGTTGGTCTCTGAACTCTTACTAAACTAAGTAGGATATCTGAGATGAACAGAAGCATGTGGAAAAGTATAAATGTGGTTAACTGTTGTCATAATGCAGTGTCTGCTGTAGGAAGATTCAGGAAAATTGTTCTAAAATGGAGAACTCTAAATTGCATCAAACAATTAAAACAGAAAATGTGTTATTTTGTCAGGATCAACAAGCAGTCAGAGACCACTCTGATCTGTATTCATAGCACTGAAATTTGGCATTATCTCTAGAAAGAGGAGGCCAGAGATGCTACATGTCATCAAAAGGAGGCTATATAGAAGGTTTATCAAGATTCTTGCAGTCAGACGTCAATAACTAACTTGCAGTTCAGTGTTCCTTTGTCCTTTTCTTGCTAGTGCATTCTGTGGATGCAGAGTTCTTCTGGTTAGAAAGATATGATCTTAGTGAGACGACTTGAGATCAGTGTGAAAAAGCAGAATAAATAGTCCCACGCTTTGGGTGAATGTGCAATACTGTTTTTAATCCCTTCTTCAGGTGTTAATTTTGTGAGATCATGGTGATGCAGCAGTGCATGTGTATAGAATAGCTCTTTTAGTATTTTTTTTTTTTAGTTAGCAGGCAAGGCAACAGGGTTCATTGTCAAATTTTCATATGTATCTGTCATCACACATTACTCTTATTTGCTTCCCACTGCCCTCTCCTCCCCACTTTTGCTGGCCCCCAGACAAGAAGGAAAAAACGATTTGGGCAGAAAAAGCAAGAATGATTGTTCTCTCTCCCTTATTTTTTTGTTTAATGATAATATCCTACTAAGTAGTCCAAGTTAGCCTCAAACTTGTGATTTTCCTGCCTCAGACCTTGGAATGCTGGGGATACTAGTGTGGAACACTATGCCCGGCTCATCTTTAACCTCTGTAAGACTTACTTTCCTCATCATTAAAACTGAAATTTTATTTCAGGGAAGCTAAGGAAAAGGAAACAGATGAAGACCTGAATAGTAAACACTGCTGTTATTTGTAAGCTTATTAAAGATAGTGGTGGCTGGTAATGTCAATCAGGGAATAATTTGCTTTGGTGGCTTCTCAAAAAAAATACTCGGGAGCTATGGTTGTCAGCTATGATGGTAATTGCCTGCTCTTTCTTTTCCCAGATTTATTTTCTGGTAACAATGTATGTAGGTTCAAACATTGTTACAATCCTTTCTTTGCCTGATGTGCTAGCACACATTTTTAATGCCAGCCCTTAGGAGGCAGAGGGGGACCGATCTCTGGGAGTTCTAGGCCAAACACAACTATAGTTGTGAGACACCCTTCTCAAAGAACAAAACAGAAGACAAAATTCTTTTCTTACTCCATTTGTTCTTACCTCCAGGTGGCTCAAATGCAATCATATGCTTACTATTATGGCTTACAAAAACAATAATTGAAAGCACAAGTGTCACACAGTTTTGTTTACTAGCCTACTTTGGACTAACTGGGGATTAGGGATAAAATAAGAATATTTCTTTTTTTAAAGTTCTCTCATACATTAAGCCCTGACTGAAGTTTCCCCTGCCTCCAGTCACTCCTCCCAGCCCCTCCCCCACCACCTCTCTTCTCTCATGTATCCTCTTCTCTTCCATTTCCCTTCAAAAATGAGCAGGCCTCCCTGAGAAGAATGTGTCTCTTTTAAATTCCAATTTGTCTGAATTGTGTATTTACTTGTGATGCTCCACTGAATAAGAACCCTGTGATCACCTCCTGAGCAGGAACTGCTTTTCTCATCACTGAATAGATCAAATCATTCTCTCAAATATGAAAATGATTTGAGTCCAGTGTCGCTATTTTATAGCGTATGTGTTAGCCACCAAAGAGTCAGACTTTAAGAAATGAACTATGTAATTTTTTTTTTGGTTTTTCGAGACAGGGTTTCTCTGTGTAGCTTTGGAGCCTGTCCTGGCACTCGCTCTGGAGACCAGGCTGGCCTCGAACTCACAGAGATCCGCCTGCCTCTACCTTCCGAGTGCTGGCATTAAAGGTGTGTGCCACCAACGCCCAGCAAACCATAATTTCTAATCATTGAGTAAGGATAACTGAGTGACTGCACCAGAGAAAATGCTGACAATAACATGGGAGCCCACAGTTAATAGGAATACCTTCAAGATATACATATGCACAGGAATTACAGTTAGTCAAAACCTTTAAGTCAACAGGAACTGAGGAGCGCAAGGTCTCTGCTTGTCAAGAAAGGTCTGATGGGGAAGGCAGAACTTTTCTGTACTTAAAGGACTCACATGGATAAAGAATGAAAAAGAGGTGGGGATGAGGGAAGCAAATGACTTAGATGTGCATGTAAATTTGGTTAGTTGGGAGATATGGAATGGTTCAGAGTGATGATGAAGACTGGGAAATGAAGTTGCAAAGGCAAGGTGAAGCTCAGTTACATGGCAAAAGGAGTTAGACAAGTTAGGATGTGTGCACATGACCTCGTGAAGTTCTGCAAGACTTTGAGGAGGGTGCCATGAAAACTACTGAGCAGCTCCAGTGTGGCCCTTGTCAACTTGGTGCCATTTGAATTCCCCATCATTTTCCTCATACACGTTTACTGCCTGGTGTCTTTGGCTGCTGTCAAAGTTGGAGTATGCTTTTTTCCTTTCGTTTAGGAGAAGTGCCGCTTCATCAGATCTCATTGACCAGGAGGCAGGACGTGGAACACCGAAAAACAGTTACAGCAATGGTGGAATCCCAGTCACTCAAAGGTCACCAGCTCCAAGTGCTCGTAGTGTGACGTCTATCAGCAGTAGAGTAAGTATACTGCTGTGAAGAGACACCGAGTCTCTGGAACGTGGCTTTACCACCACCCATGACTCAGTTGGAATTCTTTGTATCTCAGAGCATGTTGTTTATGCTGTTGAATGGAATGTATCCTTATCTTTGGGACAGGAACCCAAAATGAAGACAAAAGGGCAAGCCAGGTTTTTTTTTAATTATTATTTGAATTAGAAACAAGATTGTTTTACATGTCAATGCGAGGTCCCACTCCATCCCCTCCCCCCCCTTACCACCCCTCCCTCAACTAAAACCCTACCTATCACATATCCTCCCCAGAGGAGGGTGAGGCCTTCCATCTGGGGTCATCAGAGTCTATCATTTCCTTTGGGATAGGGCCTAGGCCCCATGTGTATTGGCTCAGGGAATATCCCTCTATGTGTAATGGGCTCCCAAAGTCCACACCTATGCTAGGGATAAGTACTGAACTACTACAGGAGGTCCCGTAGATTTCCGAGGTCTCCTCACTGACCCCACGTTCATGGGGTCTGGATCAGTCCCATGCTGGTATCCCAGTTATCAGTCTGGGGACCAAGAGCTCCCCAATGTTCGGGTCAGCTGTTTCTGTGGGTTTCGCCAGCCTGGTCTGGAACCCTTGGCTCATCACTTGTCCTTCTCTGCAACTGGATTCCAGTTCAGTTCAGTGATTAGTTGTGGTGTCTGCTTCTACTTCCACCAGCTGCTGGATGAAGGCTATAGGATGGCAAGCCAGGTTTTAAAAGTGCTGTTATATGACAGATCTTTAAATGGCTGTGTGACTTAAGGAAATATGAAGAGCTCATTGGAGGTTCCACCTTTTGTCCTTCATGTTATTTCTCAGAGGACATATTTAGAAATTAATTTATAAATTAGCTGTACTAAATTTTTCCTAATCTGGTTGATATTCTACAGGAAAAGTAGGACCTTGGAATCATTTTATAATTTTTCTTTTCCTTCTGTTAAAATGAGAGGTCAAACATATAATAAAGGCTTACATTGCTATTGTGTGTGTGTGTGTGTGTGTGTGTGTGTTTGCTATTGTGTATGTTATACACATATAATACATGAGAAATTGTCTTTTGTATCACATTTTTTCTTTTAAAGAAGAAAAAGCACCAAACACTTGGGAGTAATACTTTCTTTTTATCAGCTATTCTATTGGAAGTCATTCTTAGAATAAGTTATCATCTATTAGACTTTTTATTAAGCAAGAAATTCAATATTGCTGGAGTCTATATTTAAGAAATCATTACATATGAACTTTAATACTTTGATTTAACCATAATTTAGTGAAGTGAAACCCCCTGAGAGGGCCTAAACAAGAAAAGATTTTTAAAAAAGTGAAAGAATCAGCCATGCAAATGTCTGGGCAGGCAGTGTCCTCCAGACAGACCAAATCAATGTTGGAGAGACAAAAAGAAGAAGGCTGATCCATCTTTAATGATCAGTGCCCTGGCCCAGATAGTTTGTAAAGTGTCTGTGCACTTCATGTAAGAACCTGAGGTGGGCATGCCTGATTTGCTAAAGGAAGACCCAAGAGGCCAGTGTACTGCTGTTAGTAAATGGAGAAAAGTGGACTTCCATATGAATTCAAAGAAGTCAGAAGTCAGCAAGGACCTTGAAAACTGCTATTTAGCCTTCTTAGCTGTTTAGTCTGCTTAAGACCGGTGAGGCTGTAGGGTTCATGTAGCCAAGTAACATGCTTTAGCATCTGTTTAGGGGGAATCTTGGGAGGGGCTGCTGAGGAATCCCTGAGGGATGAAAGTTAAGCCTGTAGATCATTTAGGAAGCTTTTGCCATAGTGCAGCCATTAAAACGGGCTTGGGAACAGGGAGGTAGCAGGAGGGTGGGTAGTGAGCAATCAGAGTGTTTCAGTGTTTTGGAGGAAGTGTCAAAAGACATTCAGACAGATTGAATATGGTTGATTGATCTGTTTCAATATAGCCTAAGTTGTACTTCCTTAGATAAAAGGCATATTTTGAGTTTCGTAAATATTTATGCTAAGCTCAACAACTGGATTCTGTTCAGCCATCACAAAAGTGCATAGATTGTGGATGTTCATATTTTCTTCTTTGGTTACCTACCAAGGAGTGATATTTAATGTATTGATGAGCTGGTAGTGAGGAGACCCTGACCAATCAGAGCAAATACTGTACAAGGCTTAGGAGCCTTGCATGCCTTATAAAGGGAATTGTTGGGGAGAAAAGGCATGAGGAAATGGGGGTAGGATGAACACAGTGATAATGCCTACCAGCTATTTTGATACAAATATATTCTAAAATATTATACTGCTGTGCCTGTGCCAGCAGGTGACAGATGACCATCAGTCCAGTTGCCAATAAGTTAATTCAGTTTGGTTGATCTCGAAAAAAGGATTATCTTCCCAGGTATGGTTTGTCCTACAGTGAACCTGGGAAGACTTTCTCTGCATATACCATGGGGGTGTGGAGCTTGTTCTGGTGTTCCCACTGGTCTAAGTTGGCTTGTTTAAAGAGGAAAAATGTTTTCTTGTTAATAAGACAGTAATTTATAAATCACATTGCTTTCGTGTGTGTGTGTGTGTGTGTGTGTGTGTGTGTGTGTGTGTGTGTGTGTGTATGTGTGTGTGTGTAACAGAGAGAAAGCCCAAGCTCACAATTTCTTCTATAAATGAAAACCTTCTGCATATCTTTGTTTATGCTATTATATAAACTGCTAATTTTAGGCTTCACCACCTGAAGCTCTAGAGCAGTGCTTCCCAACCTTCCTAATGCTGCTACCCTTTAAAACAGTTCTTTGTGTTCTGCTGACCCCACAACCATAAAATCTTTTTTCCTTGAAACATCATAGCTGTCATTTTGCTACTGTTATTGTAATGTAAATATCTGTTTTCTGATGGTCTTAGGCAACCCCTGTGAAAGGGTCATTCAACTCCCAAAGGGATGATGACCCACAGGTTGAAAATCCTTGCTCTAGAGTATGTGTTGCATGTTAATGACTATACAATGTTAACTGACATATTAAAGTCCAATATTAATGGTACCACAAAAATCACCTGTGGGAACATTTTTCCATCATCATAATTGCCAGTAAGTAGCTTAGTCTTGCTTCATTAGGAGAATTCCACGTGTTAAGAATTTTGTGATGAGCTATTGAAATCTGACCTAAACTAATTCATCCATTTGACCTCTGTTACCCTCTGGATAAACTTTGCTAGTCTATGATAATTAGAGGAATTAGAAGAAATGTACTTTCTGCATATAGGTCTTACATGTTGGAAATAATGAAAAACTGATAACAGTCTACTGGAGCTGAATTTATTAGCATGCTAAGCAAGTAAGAGCCAGATCTGTCTGTGGAGACTTTATTAAGTATTCCTGCATGTCTAGGATGTAGTGCAACCAGGAGGGAATTCATCCTGCAGGCACCATTTATTCATTTATAATAGGAAGAATGGGAAAATCTCTCTTAGGTTTAACAGTTATCACACCATGGTGCTATCTTCGTTGACATTTAACCTCAGTCTAGTTCTCAAGAGGACCACAGTTTTTTTAAAAAAAATATTAAATAAAGCTTATTGCCAGGAGGTAGTGGCACACACCTTTAACTCCAGCACTTGGGAAACACAGGCAGGAGGAAGATCTGTGAGTTCGAGTCCAGCCTGGTCTAAAGAGTAAGTTCCAGGACAGCCAGGGCTACACGGAGAAAAAAAATTGAGAGAGAGAGAGAGAGAGAGAGAGAGAGAGAGAGAGAGAGGTCTTTTCTCAAGAAAAAAAAGCCTAACTAGTGTCCCTAGACATGACAGAGGAAATGTACCTATGACATGTCAACAAACAATATGGCTGCTGAGGGGAAATTCAGTTTCCTCCAAGGCTGGGTTCCCGCATAGGTTTTCCAATCTCATGGACACACATGTACATATGAGCAATGCTAAATGGACTCAGTAAGTTACACACACACACACACACACACACGCGTGTGTGTGTGTGTGTGTGTGTGTGTGTGTGTGTATGAACTACTATTTTATATATTTAATGACTGTCTAATATTGATAGATTAACAATAATAATTAAGGAAGATACCATTAATTTGAGAACGAATCAAGAGAGTTAAGGGGTAGAGTGATATAGATGGAAGTGCTCATGTATGAAGTTTTCAACAAAAAATAGTTTATTTTTTTACAAAAGCCAGCATGGGACTGATCCAGACCCCATAAATGTGGGTGTCAGTGAGGAGGCCTCAGAAATATATGGGGCCTCTTGTAGTAGATCAGTACTTATCCCTAGCATAGGAATGGACTTTGGGATCCCATTTCACATAGAGGGATACTCCCTCAGCCTAAATGGGGGGGGGGCTAGGCCCTATCCCAAAGGATATGACAGACTCTGAAGCCCCCACCCAAGGAAGGCCTCACTCTCCCTGGGGAGCAGAAATGGTATGGGATAGGTAGGCTGTTAGTGGGGGGCAGGGTAGGAGGGGAGGGAGAAGGAACAGGGATTGACATGTAAAACAATCTTGTTTCTAATTTAAATAAAAAAAGGAAAAAAAGAAAAGGCTAGTTAATCTGTAACCATGGTAACAGGTAGCCACCATAGTGGATTTTAAACCTCTTTAGTTTTCCAGGAATATAATTTGATAGTCACGGATCCAGGAGAAGTAGTTTTCACCTTATTTAATCAGATAATATGCTTTTGAAAAAAAAAGCAAACTGACTAGATAGCAATCAGCAGAGCTGGGACAGGGTTTGTTTTTATCATATCACACAACGAAAGCCAATCTAAGACTGTATTCTGCCACATGTACAGACATTTATTTGTAGTTAGGCATCCCCTAAATCACCTATGGCTCTAGGTTGAGGAGTACCTGCTGTGTCCTGCAGGGCTGTTGGGATCAGGTGCACTGGGCTCTCTGATGGAAAAGCTGCAACCCCCATCCTAAGTTCAGCCTATTTACTACATACCAGTCGATTAGGGAGGTGGGTTCTTTGCATACAGCTGAACAAAGAGAAGGCATTATAACATACAGTTTAGTTGACTAGGGATGCAGTTTAGGCAATCTCAGTAGGATCATTCTCTGGAGGGGAGCAGTTTTCTGGCCATTAGCGTCCAAGGGAAAGAAACCTACAGTGGATATTTTCTTCATATACCATCAACATTTGTATGTATGCCAGAAGAAGGCTTTGCCATCCCTCTGGGAATGAGGCTTTGGTCTTTGACATAGCCATTCTCATGTCAAACAATCCCCAGTTACTCAGGACCTCATCTGCTCCCTACAAGTCTCCATTCTTATAAACACTGATAAGCATCATGCAGGACATTTTATTTCAACATACAAGTAACTATATTTTGATCACCAAGTCTTCTAGATGGAAAAGATGGCAGGGTCTTAGGTTAAATGTGGTGATAGAAAGTACAGTGTATGTGAGTCAGCTTTCCAGGGTCTGGCTCAGTAGTTCTCAAACTGTGGGTCATGACCTCTTAGGGGTTGCCTAAGACCATTAGAAAACACATATATTTACATTCTGATTCATAACTAGCAAAATTACAATTATGAAGTAGCAACGAAAATAATTTCATGATTGGGGGTCACCCCAAACATGAGGAACTGTCTTAAAGGGCCACAGCTTTAGGAAGGTTGAGAAACACTACTCTTGCTAGACACAAAACTAATTAAATGAGTCTAACTTATTCAGTGTTCCATTATTGTCACAATGCTTGAGATACAGCAACTTAAAAAAGAAAAGTTTGATTTAGCTTACAGTTTTGGGAGTTGCAGGTCAGAAAAAAAGAGAGAAAGAAAAATAGCCTCCTTTGTGGCAATTATATAAAAGAATATGTCACGAGTAAGCTGCTCATGTAGTGGTTGCCAATTACCTAGAACCATCCACTTGGCACACATATAAAAGGATTTTATTACCATCCAATAACACCAACTTGAAGATCAAAGTACCATTGTTTGGGCCTTTGTGGTGGCTGTCCTTATTGAAACCACAACAGGGTAGTTGAGGACAGGGTATGTTGATAGAAGACAAATACAAGACCAAACAGCTCTAAGACTAATTTCCACTCCATGTAAGATTGGAAGTTTCTATACAGACTTCTTGCTAATCTTATATCACTAGTTCATGAGTAAAAAAGTATTCGAATATGTTTCATGATAAATTGAAACCTTCTTGGATCCCATTTTATACAGTAACTTTGGAAGTATGAGCTTCTGAAAGGGTCCTTCAAATGTTATTTCATTCCTTCCCCCAAATAATACACACAAATACCTTTATACTAAAGTGTATTTCTATGAAAGGGTTTTAAAATAAATCAGTCAGTATAATGTTCCTTTTTTGTGTTTTACTCTGTGAGAAGGAACATGGTTTTGAGAACTCCGTGGCTTTGGCTGCCGGTGAAAGCACTTCTGAGGAGCTCACAAAGAGTCACCGCAGAAACACGTCTGGCACTCCTTCTATAGCAGTATCTGGTGCCTCCCTTTCCTCAGGTAGGTGGTTACAAGATGAGTACTGTACTGTTTAAAAAAAAGACTAAGTCAAATTGAATTTCCTGTTTTATATGGTATTGAGTAGACATTTTATGCTTGAGAAAACAATCATCCATTATAAAAATGATTATCCATTATAAAGCATAAGCACTTTCTAAAGGTGGTCCCATGAGATGCTTTAGGCCCACTGCATTTTAAAAAGTCTACTTATTGAGTGTATATGTTTGCTATAAGCCATTGTTTAGGTTCAAAGCTACACCAGATTATTAGTATAGAAATACAGAAAATACAAATAGTTCTAAGGTGCATTTGATATGACAGGTAATAACTCTTGCCTAGATAGCAAGGAAATAAATGGTAGTTCAATGTATAGAATGGCTAGACCCAGACAAATGGTTTTATCCCTTAAATTGGAATCAGTTGTATGTAGCTTGGCCTAGTTAGTGTGCTTTCTTTTCTAAATTTTTTATTAGTTAAAATTAGGAACAAGCTTGTTTCACATGTCAATCCCTTCTCCCTCTCCCTCCCCACACCCACACCCCTCCTATCCCCCCACCTACCCCCCACCCCATCCACCCTCCACTCCCCAGGCAGGGTAGGGACCTCCACAGGGGCTCCACAAAGTCCACCACATCTTCCTGGGCTGGGCCTAGGCCCTTCCCCATGTGTCCAGGGCAAGAGTGCATCCCTTCACATGGGATGTGTTCTGAAAGTCCCTTCTTAGACCAGGGAAAAATACTAATCCACGACCAGAGGCCCCCTAGAGTACAGAGGCCTCCTCATTGACATCCATATTCAGGGGTCTGAATCAGTCCTGTGCTGGCCTCACAGATAGCATCTGGGGTCAAAGTGTTCCCCCTTGTTCAGGCCAGCTGTTTCTGTGGGTTTCACCATCCTGGCACCAACCCCTTTGCTCTTCATTCCTCCCTCTCTGCAACTAAGTTCCAGAGTTCAGTTCAGTGTATATCTGTGGATGTCTGCCTCTGCATACATCAACCACTGGATGAGGGCTCTAGGATGGCATAAAAAAGTAGTCATCAATCTCATTTTAGGGGAAGGGCATTTAGGTTATCCTCTCCACCATTGCCTGGATTGTCCATTCGTGTCATCCTTGTAGGTCTCTGGAGATCTCCCTGGTTCCATATCTCTTCTCGGACCTATAGTAGCTCCCTCTGATATCTTTCATCCTGCTCTCTCTCTCCTCTATTCTTCCCCCAACTCATTATTTCTGCTCCTCCATTTCCTCTTCTCCTCTCCTTTTCTCATGCTCTCATTCTGGCAGCTCCCTCTCCCCTACCCTCATGCTCCTAATTAGCTCAGGAGTTCCTGCCCCTTCCCATTCCTGGGGTCCATGAATTTATCCCCTAGAGTCCTTCCTGTTTCCTAATTTCTTTGGTGAAGTGGATTATAGGCTGATAATCTTTTGCTCTATTTCTAAAATTCATATATGAGTGAGTACATACCATGTTTGTCTTTTTGTGACTGGGTTACCTCACTCAGGATGGTTTCTTCTAGTTTCATCCATTTGCCTGCGAATTTCAAGATTCTATTGCTTTTTTCTGCTGAGTAGTACTCCATTGTATAAATGTACCACATTTTCTCTATCCATTCTTCAGTTGAGGGGCATCTAGGTTGCTTCCAGGTTCTGGCTATGACAAACAATGCTGTTAGGAACATGGTTGAGCATATGTCCTTGTTGTATGAACGTGCATTATTTAGGTATATGCCCAAGAGAGGAATTGCTGGATCTTGAGGTAGACTGATTCCCATTTTTTCTTAGCAACCACCATACTGATTTCCAGAGTGCTCTTACAAGTTCGCATTCCCACCAGCCATGGAGGAGTGTTCCTTTTTCTCCACATCCCCTCCAGCATAGATTGTCATTGGTGTTTTTGATTTTAGCCATTCTGACAAGTGTAAGGTGGTATCTCAGAGTTGTTTAGAGTTGCATTTCTCTGATGGCCAAGGATTTTGAGCACTTTCATGTAGCTCTATACCCCACTTTTTAATTGGATTATTTGTTGTTTTGATGCCTAGCTTCTTGAGTTATTGTATATTTTGGAAATCAGCTCTCTGTCAGATGTGGGGTTGTTGAATATATTTTCCCATTCTGTGGGCTGGCGTTTTGTCTTACTGACTGTGTGCTTTGCCTTACAGAAGCTTCTCAGTTTCAGGA